TAATTTTATTTAATTTATTTTATTCTATTTTATTTATAATTCTTATTACTATTGTTGTTATTTTATATTTTATATGTTATATTGAGTGACACAGGCTGGTAATACCTGCGAGGCCACTTAAATTACTGCACCTCGCAGCCAAGGCCAGCTCTCGCAGGGCTAGTACACCACTCCGGCTGTTGAAGAAGGGAAGGGGTTAAGAGTGAAGAAAATGAAATAGTCAGGGCTCGGGAGCCGCACGGTGCCCACACACGCCAAACAGCTGAAGCTCAATGGGCCCGCACCTCACTTCCTCTCCTACGAGCCTACCCAAACCTCAACGTAAGCCTTGCGACCCGTTGGAAGGTATCAGCATCTCTACCTGACCTGCCTCCTATAGCTAGCCTTTATTCCTTTTTTAAAAAAACTTGAGGTGTTCGTAAGCCCTGCACAAACCACCCCGCTGCGGCCACCCTCCCCCGAACTTCCTTGTTGTCAATAATACAGTAAATTAAAAAACTCAACTTGTCTTCGCTTACATAGAAATTAAATATGAGTAACAAAAATGTCAACAAAACCGTGGGAGGGAGCCGATGCTACCCTCCCCTCCTCCTGGATGCTGTTCCACAAGGCCTTGATCCGTGACACAGCTGGTAGCAACCGAGCAGCGTAGCTCTATCCTTTGCCGTTGCCAGAAAAGGAAGAGGGTGGAGAGAGGAAGGAACGTCCCTTAAATAACCTAATGTTACCCCCCTCTCACCCAACTGCTCTTGTGAGACCTAGGGTCTTGCCTTATCCAGGGAGGCAAAGGCGAGTCACGCTGCCGAAGCTTTAGCTCAGCAGCGGCTTGAGCAATTGCATTGTATTGTTAAACCACCAGAAGGAAGAAATCTTTGTTGATATCCTCCACACATTCAAGATCAACAGCTGGTCTAGCTTTATTTTCTGTCCACCCCTTTGAACTTCATCTATGGGTACCATTAATTTCCAGGTGTAGAAAACAAATAATTAACTGCACATTTGTTTTATAGGAATCCAGCTACATTGAAGAAAGCAGTGGTCTGAATGATGCCATCTCCTTGATTTTTTCCCTCAGAGAAGAAGTTGGAGCTTTAGCTAAAGTTCTGCGCATATTTGAGGTATGTGTTTAACTACCCTTATCTGGGAAAAGAAATCCCACAGATATTTCAGAAGCAAAGTCCCGCTGTCAAAAGTCCTATGATGACTGGCTCATGAATAAGATGTTGGTTCCCTGTTACCTTGTTTTGCATGCATGTTTATGAGCAGAGATGGGCACAAACCAGGAAAATGGTGGTTTGCGATGGTTTGTGGTTCACCTATTCATGAACCATGAACTTTCAGAACCTTTCCAATGAAATGAACGGTTTTGTGGTTTTTGTAATTTAGTACTTCCAGAAACAGTAGAATGACCCCTGCATGAGTAGAGACACCAAACTTGCAGATATTTTTCCGATGACTCTCCTCCCCACCCTCTCCATGGTTGCTGAAGATTGGATTTGGAATATCCGAGTTATAGCCCCCCAAAGCAGCCCACCCCAGGAAAGTGCTCTTTAGCAGTTGGGGGTCTACTTTGGGGGGCTATAACTTAAATAGCCCAAGTCCAAACTTTGCCACACTTAGAGGGGAAGGTGAAGAGAGACAA